GAAATCCCCATGGATCTGAAGAATTCTGTGTGTCAGTGTTGCCAGTGAATTGGAAAGATACCAGGTGGTAATCAGAGAACAGCAGACTTCAACCTGAGCTTTTGAGGGCAGAGCAATCACCTCTGCATCTTTCCCTCTGTCCAGTGAGAACACAGCATAGAAGCAGGCAGCAGAGAAATAGCAGAGGGAGAGGGCATTGGGGCAAGGAGGTGAACAAAATAAATGGCAGGTGTAGTGGAGATTCCCTGTGGCTGCTGCATCATGGAGGGTGACTCTCCACAGAAAGGTGGGAGGGGAAGACTGTGATCCAGACAATGAGACCACAATGAGGAAGAATGACTTTGGGTTTGGCAGGTGACTTTGGTAAGAACTGCTGGTACTTGTGGGCACATTGGAAGAGCTGGCAATTTTGAAGGTGGAGGATGGTGAAATGATATGGACAAAGCATTAAGAAGCACACCTTGCACACACCCAGGCCTGGTGGTAAGAGGGAGGAAAATCAGCCTCCATGTGGGAGGGCTGGGGGAAGCAGTGTCCTTACAGGGAATTTCAGTTAGAGCAAAAAGGTGGGAAGATGAGAGAAGATAAAGGAACAGTGGGCATTTGCTGCTGAAAGCCCCTGAGCCTCAGTGTAAGGGCCTGGAGGGGCTGAGCCAGATTCGGGCAGTAAAATGAGTGGGGGCAAGGTGGGGTTCATCCTGACCCACAAAAGGAAGGTGGAAACCTCCTCATTACACAGCACAGAGTAGACACTCAGTAATGAATGGTTTTCATTTTTCTTATTATTTCTATTTTATCTAATCCTTGAGCACACAATGAAACATTTCCCTACAGTGTTTATGGAACCACCAACCATTAAAGCTGGAAGTCACTGTAGATAATCGGTTACAGTGTCTTCTCTCAGAGCTGAGGAAATAGGGGGTCAAGGATGTGAACTCGGGGCTCTTAACCTCTCTACCACTACCATATATTCATCCCATTAAACTGATGAGATCCTCTGAAACCTGGCTCTGTACCCTGTGGATGTCCATGGTGGCTGCAGTCAGCCATACAGGGTTCATGCCCTGTGTTGACCACTTGTTTTTGATCACAGACCCTGGGGGACTGCTCCTTGCAATTCCCACAGAGAGCAGAGGCTGGTCTGTGAGCACATCTTTCATCTGCAAACTGACCAGTTCAGAGTCCACCTGTCTCCTTTGTGGGGCACTCGTGTCCCTATCCCCCTCCTCTAATCATCCCAGGAGTGTATGAACAGTTTAAGATCTTGCTGAAATGATCCAAACTTTCCATTCTAAATCTCCCCTCCTGCAAACCCACAATAATGCCTGCATTTCCTCCCCCACATCCCTGCCCCTGATGGGCCCTGGTGCACCCTGTGTGGCCCTGTGTGATATGGCCATGCCCCTTCTCTTGGGACCTGAAACAATCTATCTTTTCTATGGCAGTCATTTCCAGACTGTGGCCTTGCCATACCTAAATAATAATAAAACCTACATTTTAAAACACATCACCATGTCCTTGGATTATCAGACTTTGCAACCGAATGGGACCCCGAGGAGCTGTCCCTCTAACAGAGCTCTAATACGGGGCCTCTATTACTAGTCTACCTCCCAGCAATTTCTCTTCTTGCCTCTGAGTTCCTCAGTGAGCAAAAGCTTTCATGCATATGAAAAATTGGCTGGTGCTTTTTAAAGGACATGCAGGAAGCCTTATTTAAAACATCACCACAATGCATTCCTGGAGTTTTCTAGAGTGGGCAAACACTACCCTGGCAAGGTCTCTGGGAGTTTATTTGTAGATAGAGAAAATCCTCCATTCTGCCATTTCTGCTTTCTGTACGTGGCTGGCTGCAGATCAGAGCAGGCAGCTGCAGCATGAGGCCAGAGTAGCACCTCACTCAGGAGAGGGCTGGCCAGATTTGTAGTGTTGTTCCTCATCCTGCAGGGAGATGGCGCTGAACAGAGAGACTATGGCTAAGGTGAAGTGAGCCGCAGAGTGTTGATCAACTGGATTATTCATTCAGAGGATGAAGCTCTGGGTGGGAGAGCCTAGTGCCAGCCTGGGCAATGCCCAGGTTCATGGTGGGACTGACAGAATTTTAGATCTGACCTGTTGTTGGCTAGAATGGCACAGACCAGCTCTCAAGAGTATGGGTTTGAGTGACTTCCACATTGTCCAGCTGGACAATCTGAGATGAGGAGTAAGTGGTAGAATCAAATCTAAAAGGCCCATTAGACCCCCTCTGCTTCCCAGGCTTAAAGAGCTTGCACAATGGGAGCTGGGATGGAGCCTGGACCTGCTATTATTGTTGCTAACATTATTTACTGCTTACTGGGTCTCTTCCACAGCTGGGCACCAAATGTAAATAAGACAAAGAAGCCTTATCTAGTGAACAAAGAAAAGGGATGGACTTAAGTTATCACGGTGTTCAAAAGCCCAGAACCTCTAATGAGCTGTTTTCATTTTTAATTTAACCAACATACCTATGGAGGAAAATAGAAAGAAGATTAAAAGCAGGGTCCCCCTAGCAGCTTGGGAGGCTGGAAGAAAGTGGTAACAATGATTACCTGTTAGCTACGTGGTCCACGAGATGCTGCTTGAAGGTGAGACTCCACCTCTTAATTGTATTCAGGAGAGATGCCTTAAAGGGTCGAATGTCAATTTTCATCCAGCCGTCAAACACCCTGACCGGCTCCAGCCTGCTCACCTCATCATAGAGCTGTTCATAGGAGTCTATTTGCGCTTTAAAGTGGGCGAGCAGCGGAGGGTTCTCTGGGATGCCATCGTCTGCATGGGCTTCGATCTCCTCCGGTGTGAGGATGTGACCGTACAACAGAAACTGACCCAGAGCCTCCGTCCGGTCCTCCAGGTACAGGTAGGCGAATCGGCTGAGGGAGTCCCGATAGGCACAGCTGAGAGCCATCACGCCCCGCACCCGCTCCAGGAGCGTGCACCGCATGCTCGCCAAGTCGGCCATGGCCTCCAGGTCCTCCTGGGAGAGGGACAGCAGCGGGCAGATTACACCTGGGCCAGCTCTTGGTGGGAAGCTCTGGGCTAGGCTAGGAGGGCCTGGGGTCGCGGACCCAGTACCTGATAGAGGGGAGAACCATTTTGTGGGGAAAGCCTGGGCACCAGAGACGATATCCCAAAAATGCTAGTTACGAGACCCTCGACGATGTCGTAGAAGCCCCCTTTCACGCCGGAGTCCAGCGACGGATGGAAAACTAATTCTGGGATGGCGAGGCACAGCTGTGCTTCAAATATTGGGGTGAGTCCTGCCTTACACTCTGAAAAAAAGGGAAACACACGAAACTAGAATTAATGAAATGGGCAAAGTAGAGTGTCGTTCCAAAGGCACATGTGCCATCTCGTTCCTTTGGCGAAGCTGTTACAGTGTAGGAAATGGAAATGTAAAATTTGCTAACGCTCCAGAAAAGGTGAGGGTGCTAGTCCTGCAGTGTTTCTCAACAGGGAAACCACTGACATTTTGCAGAGGCCTATTACTAGGAAGGCTCTCCTGGGTACCACGGAACATTTGCTCTTGTCCTCACCAAGCACATCCTAGTAACTGATCTACCCAGGTTTGTCCCCTTCTATATTCACAAATGCCTTCTGAGGGGTGACACAGCCCGGGGTTGAGAAGAGGTTGATTTTTCAAAGCCAATTTCTTGGAAGCAGCTGATTTCTTCCCAGGCATAAACCACACAACTCCAACGGGGCCACTGGCAAAGAGAAATTACAATCCTACCCATTCTGCTCCTTAAAAACCAACATATTTTAATCGTGTAGTCTCATAGTGATAAAAATTTAAAAAATAAATAGTGAACAAATTCCTGATTATTTGCTAGACCAACTTGCCTTGTGAAATTTAAATCAAAATACAGCATGGAGCAAGATGGTCTAAGTATACACTTAAACTTTTATTATAACTACTTATTTTCATAGATCTTTCTGGCTATAGAAATATTTAGGAGCTCAAATGGAGGCTTCTCACTGAAATCTATTGTCCTCTTATTCCCTAGAAACAGAATTATGCCTGGGCATTGATTGAATTTCCCACCCTACTTATGGTTAGGTCGGTGGTGTATGTGATTTCCTCCTCAGGGGGTGTGGGAAGAGGCGATGACCCCCTTGCAAGAGCAGGGGAGCCTTCTCTGTGCTCTCTCTTCCCCTTACTCAGAGCAGAGCCCAGGTGTAGCAGTGAGCCAGGGCAGCCACAGAAATGAGGACAGGGCCCTAGAGAGAGGTGGGGCCACAGCATGGAAGGAACTTACCCACCAAACTGGAACATTCACCTTGACTGTTACATGGGGGGGGGGGTAGACCTCCTTGTCCTCTAAGCCCTGTGACTGATGGAATGTTTATTACCACAGCTTAGCCATCCAGCCTAACTAAAATACGTCATGATTCTCAAAGATATGTGAAACTAGGGCCTTGTCTTCAAAACTGGAGGGATGACAAGTTTGCGACATGGGATTCAGGAGGGTCCTATCAAAAGCACATTTAACTGAAGGGAATACAAATTTCCCAGTAGCACAGCAATTACACTGCTATCATAAAACTGTTTTATAAAAACACCTGAATTATGTTTTATGTGGGTACTCATTATATATTCTCTATTACCATATATATTATGTGTTTATAAATTAATAGACAAAGTTGAATATAATTTAAAAACTTTAGAGAATTTTACCATGTTGACATGTGACCTAATCCAGTGCCTTTCAACCTTTTTTTATCTCATGGCACACTTGACCCTACAGTTAAACTTGCACAGCACACATAAATTATGTTGATCAAACAAACAAACAAAAAAAGTTAAAAATATATCTTTAGAAAATAATGTAATTAATGATCTTTTAAAATTTTTTTCTTTTTTTTGTATTTTATTTTTTATTTCAGGTTAATGTGAGGGTACGAACAACTAGGTTACAATGTTTGCATTTGTTAGGTAGCATCCCTCTTATGGTTGTGTCCTGCACCCAAGAGATGTGCTATAAAAAATTATGGAAAACTTTAAGAATTGGCAAGTCATCCTTGTGCAGGGGACATGGTAGTCATCTCTGTATTGTTCCAATTTTAATACATGTGCTGCCAAAGTGAGCACTTAATTAATGATCTTTCATGGCACACCTAAGATCTTCTCATAGAACACCAGTTGAAAATCACTGCCCTAATCCCTATATTGGACATAACACCAATGTTTCTGGTTCTACAGTCTTGGTGCAAGTAAATCATTTTAGCAGGTAAGAGGAGGAAGAACTTTTCCCTATGAAGTGGGTAGCATTTAACCATGGAGACAGTTTGGGTTATAAGAGATGACACAAAAGCCAAGCCAAGCATAGGAATGGTATAGGCCTGACCAAACACAAGGAGGCAAAAATGGCAAGATTAGATCTGGGAAGAAAAAACCATCCAGTGCGACTACTACAAGGGGGCCCCAGAATTTTCTTCTTTAGAGGAGACCCTCTTCAGCCTCCTTCACTTATGCTTAGATAACCCATGCCTTTCAAATTTTATCTATTGTGCCTTAGCTCAGGTAGCTGCTAAGTCTAACTCCTGCCCACTCAAAGGAGAATTTGAAGGGCCTCTGCATTATGAAAAAGATGTGTTATTCAGCCCTTCCATTTGCATAGAGGTAGTCCTGGAGAAAGACTCTTCTCTCCACTCTCTTGTTCTCACTCTGTCCTTCCCAGAAGAAGACACATGACACATCAGACAGCCAAGATCAGGACATCCATCCCAGGACATCAGGTCAAGGGTGGAGTGTCATACCCAAGGATGGCTGAAGTGTCTTCCTAGATCCTCTAGGGACGGGTGAGTGATGAGGCCCTGTGAACTTTGGCCTCAAGGCCAAAGGAGGGTTTGGCCAGTTCACTAAGGTGAACACTACCTGTGCTGGTTTCTGGAAGCCAGTTCTTCAGTCTTAAGTGCCTGTGTTCTATGCCCCACGGGCTGCATGGTCCCAAGTTCTAGAAGATGACCTCCCATCTTGCTACTATGCTGAATCCCCTGAGTCCTGCTGCCAGTTTCCTTGATTTAGAGCACCCCTGTACCCTGTATGCAAAGACCTGCCTCACACCTCAGCCACTCCACCTATCCAGGCCATAGGGTTGCCCATTTGAGCTACACTCAGCTGGACCTTGTTCCTCTCTGTATTCTCAACCTAGCTGTCTGCCTGTGACCTTTTTGGGGGGCTGCACATCTGGACACTGGCTTTGTTCTATTTATTTTTAACTCTGCATTTGATTTCTATCCTTGGGCTGGAGTTGACATCTTAAACTCTCATCTCACTTTTATCCTTCGGCTTTAAAATCATCACCTTTGCCTTTCCACTGTGACTAATCCTTCCATAGTATCCATGCTAAGCAACTCAGAATCTGCCAGAATGTAAAAGTTTCATTTGACTTTTAGTCCTGAATGCTTCTGCCCTTTGCATCTCACCACTTACCAACCAAGGTTAGACTTCACTGTATCCTTGACACTGTGCACCTTGTTCCCATTTATCTGCCATAAATTCTAAGCCCTTAACTATTTTTCAGCAGCTTCAAAGAATGCCATTACATTCTTAACATTCCTTTTCTTTCTGAAAGTTACCTCCTCCCCTGAGTCTTTTTCGTCTGATTCTTTTTCACACGGAAAAATCTTCTGTTTGTTCCATTTAACCAGGCTGCCACAACCTCCCTGTGTTCTCCAAAGGCTGCAGAGATGAAGCCCATGAGGTTTGAAGGTGCAGAATGCCCCTCTCCCATTGCCATGAGTCAGCATGTGAAGCTTCCCACCTTCATTACTAACAGTGCTTGCTGTGGCTCCAGCTTTCCCTCCTCTTTGTTGCAGCTGGACTCAGATCAAATTTGCTTTTATGCTTTCACTTTTGCTATGTGTTTCACTTTCTCAGAGCCTGGTTTATCACCTGAGTTTTTAAAGAGTTACAATTTTTTTCTCTTTGAACAATTTAGAAGCTGAACGCCTTTGCTATTTTACTGTATATCATTCACAAATAGTACACCACATTTTGGGAGAAGTCACAGATCACTCAATTGCACTTTAGTTGAATTCAGTAAATGATGTTACTGTTGTATTTCTACTAAAACCCCACATCTACGAGCCAGAAAGTACCAGTGTTCTCCAGGAGGTACTTGAGGGAGAACTCGATAGCAAGAAAGAATCCATCCAGCAACATGTCATCAATATACTCAACGTAAGTCTTCCACATGTTGGAGGTTGGGTCTGCTGAAAATAGACCCAGATTTTCCTACAAAAGAAAGAAGAAAGCATATAAACTGCATCTAATACATGAAAGAACTGGTATAATCATCAGTAGGAAGAAAAACAACACGTGGAGAAAAAAGCCTTCTTGTAAAGAATTTGCTATTATATGTGTATTGGATCCATTCTGAGTATAGTCATTGATTGAAAGGAATGCAGAGCTGGAACATGTGCCAGCTATAGGGTGCCTTCCTATAGATCACTTGAGCCTGGGAGTTGGAGACCAACCTGAGAAATACAGTGAGACCCTATCTCTACAAAAAATAAAAATTAGCTGGTGGGCACCTATAGATCCAGCTACTTGGGAGACTGAGATAGGAGGATTACTTGAGCCCAGAAGCTTGAGTTTGCTGTGAGCTATGATGACACAACTGTACTCTATCCTGGGTGACAGAATAAGACACTGTCTCAGAAAAAAAGTACAAATTAAAAAAAGAGGTTTAAAGAAACAAAGAATTTCTTGGATAATTCTTAGATATGAGCTAGAGTGTTTGGGGGTGGACATTTAATATTAACTAAAAGACTATGCGTATATTTTTAATAAATCACCATGCTGAGTGATTTAGAAAACACATTAACAAATGCCTTTCTCTCCCTCTCTCAGATCTCTATCTCTGTTTCTGTCTCTATCTCTCTTTCTTCTTCTCTTTCACATAAGACAGTTCCTGACCTGTGGAGCCCGAGCATCACCATGGTACCATGGTAACAAGATTTGAACTTAAAGGAGAAAAAGCCTTATATGCTTAGCAATGACAGACATTCCATTTACTCTTCATCATTTTCATTATTAAGATTTTTTACAGACACTTTCCAATTACCTGATATCTCCAGAGAAAGCAGTAACTAACTTGCAGAAGTAACTTTTCTAGGTGACTAACACCTACCCTTTTAGGAAGTACTGCCATTTTATAAATCCCCCTGGATTTAAACAATCTTATGATCTTGCTTTTAAGTGACACACCCCTAAATTTCAAGATATAGTACCTACACCTTTCCTTCCTAAGTGAATTGAAGATGTTCTTAATGACTTAAAAATCCATTATTATGCAAATCATAACACAGTGACAATATAGAGTTGCTCTTGGATGTGATGTTATTTACCTCTTTCGTGTTTACATGGATGGAGCTGGAACATATTCTTTTTAGCAAAGTATCTCAAAAATGGAAGAAAAAGTATCCAATGTACTCAGTCCTACTATGAAACTAATTTATAGTTTTCATATGAAAGCTATAACCCAATTATAGCCCAAGAATATGGGGAAAGGGGAAAGGGAGGGGATGGGAGGAGGGAGGATAAGTGGAGAGAGGGTAATTGGTGGGACCACACCTATGGTGCATCTTACAAGGGTACATGTGAAACTTACTGAATGTAGAATATAAATGTCTTAACACAATAATTAAGAAAATGCCATGAAGGCTATGTTAACCAGTTTGATGGAAATATTTCAAATTGTATATAAAACCAGCACATGACCACCCCATGACTGCATTAATATACACAGCAATGATTTAATTAAAAGAAAAGGAAAAAAAAAGATGTGTACACCTATTTGCTACTATATTAAACAACTCTTAGTTTTTATGATTGTTTTGCATAATTGTCCTATCTCCTTCCCATTGTCAAGCTATCACCTTTCCTTACTATCTCAAATCTTCTTCTGTCTAAGGAACAAATGTACTGGAATTTTCTGTGAAATAAGAAGAAATAGTTCATATTTATGATCCCAGTGGAGCAGAAGAATGAGACTATGCATGCCATTCTTCTGCAAGCAACTATAGAACTGGGCATGGCACAAGAAATAATTGTTTGGGGCAACTCAATAACAGACAGTACAGGGATCTGATCTTTGAGATAAGGGTGATGCTCAAGATGAACTTCATAACTACTGGTTTTCTACCTAAAGGTAATTTCCAAACCATGGCACAGGGTAGTGGAGCTCAGTTACAGCATGCTTCCTGATGGGAAGAGACAACAGAGTTTGGAGGTTGGGGCTGCTGAGATGGCTGGATCCTCTTAAGTCTTTGAGTAGTAAGCTGTGTATGTTTAGGGCAAGGATCTATAACACCTGACAGAATAGTTATAGGAGCTCTAAGGTGAATGGAAATTATGTAGGTCACATAGTGCCAGAAGATGTTAGAGTTCTATCAGAAATAATGAAAGGGGAGTCCTGTGGAAAATGGCTGACTGGAGCCAGCTTTCCACAGAGGGCTCCATCCAGAAGGAGAGTTAAAGGACAGAAGTTTAGCAAGTAAGTTGATGATTTGGAGCTGAGGCAAGAGAGAAGGTTGAAGAATACATATCAACCCTGCTGAGGTGAGCTGTGATCCCAAGGATACAAACGAAAGGTACAAAATCCATCACCAAGTGGACAGGAGTCCCCGACCCCTTGAGAACAGCTTGCAATATACTTTCTACAAAAAAGCAAGCAGAGTTTAAATATCCTCCCTTTTTATCCCACAGGAAAGACCATCCAAAAACTGGAACTCCTTCCCCTACTAGAGTGCCATGGCACTCTCCTGCCAGGCATAAAACTATATAAAACTGTATATATCCTCTACCTAAAATTCTGAACTCCCAGCACTCCCCTCCACTCTTACTCCAAGGTCACCCCATGGAGTCCAGATTTTGGGGTATTTTCTTGAGAGGTGTGGACAGATTGTGTGCTGTTGTCGGTCTGTGCTGATTCTGTGGCATGGGGGTAAGGAGGAAACGATTGACTGAAGGAACCATACAGGGAAAGGGAGAGGCAGTACCCCCAGCACAGAGCAGCAGTGGCAGCAGTGGGAATAGGGCTCACAGCCCTGGGGATATTTTGGACACTCCTGTTTCTCTGGGCA